TGTGCGGGCGGCGATCTGGACGAGGCTCGCCTGATGCTGCGCGCAGCCGACTCTGGCCCCGGCTCTGGCGCTGCGTCCGACCCCTCCGTCTCGCCGTCTGCACGCGCGGTGCTCGACTCCACCAACGCCGACGGCATCAGCGCCCTGCACCAGGTCAGCGCCCGCGCTCCGGGTCTGCGCCACCGGGGCATCCTCCCTCCCCGGCCCTGAGCCACCTCCCCTACCGACTCTGCCACCTCTGAGGGCCCCGCCTGCTCCGTGGCCGCCTCTTCTCTGTCATCTGTGCTGTCACCTTTCTCCGTGCATCTTTTGCAGATTGCTTACTTCCGTGCCTACGCTGGCCGTGTTTCTCCTTTCCAGGCTGTGCTGCAGTTTTCCAGGTCTGAGGTTTCGTCCTCCTGCAGTCTGACTTGACCCTCCTCTTACGCTAGGCCCAGGTCCTTCAGTGTCACTTCTTTGAGGGTCCACCTTGTGCCATACCTGTGACTTGTACTGTGGCCTTAGGATGGTCTTTTCACTTCTAAGCAGTTATATACCCTTTGTTCCCTTGAAAAGATACTTCCTCTGTTGGGTCATCCCATGCTATCTTTATCTTTCCTCCTATCCTCTGCCCCCATGTCCTCTTAATTCAGTTCTCGGTTCATCCCCTTTTGGGGATCTTGCCACCACTTAGAGAGGTTTCTCCTCGACTTCTCTTTCTCTGTCCACATTATTTGCCTTTCTGGAAACTTCTGAGCATTCGATCTTCCAAGCTGTGGGCTACTTCTCTCATCTCTTGTTTGGTTTTGTTGTTGTTTTTCTGAGACAAGGTCTTGCTATGTAGCTTAGGTCAGCCTCAGACACAGGTCCTGTGTCTCTGCCCCCTCATTTGTGGGATTATAGGCATGGCCACTCCACCTATCATTTGGGCAGTATCCTTCTTTAAAAACTATACCCTCTTGCTGGGCAGTGGTGGCGCACACCTTTAATTCCAGCCTTCAGGAGCCAGAGGCAGACTGATCTCTTTTAGTTCCAGGCCAGCCTGGTCTATAGGAACTAGTTCCAGGACAGGCTCCAAAGCTACAGAGAAACATTGTCTCAAAAAACCAAAATAACAAAACAAAACAAACTATGCCCTCTCTCCTATATTTCTACCCTATCACCTTCTAAAACCTACCCCACCACCAAAACCCTGGGCATCTCAGACACTGCGATTCTTATTTCCAGTGATCTGTGCCCGAGAGTGAGGACCGTCTTGTGTTGCCTGGATTTGGTATTCTTTTTATCTTCCCATCTTC